ATCCTGACAGTGCAGAGCCTACTTGGGATTCTCTCTCTCCCTCTCTCTCTCTCTCTCTCTCTCTCTCTCTCTCTAAATAAACTTTAAAAAACGGAACTTTTTTTCTATGACTACAAGTTGAAATATGTTAAAAGGCACCAGCCACACAATGAGAATTCATATTCCAAACATCTGTGTCCATTTTTGAAAATTATAAATCTATAACTTGTATTTGCATTTAAGATAAGATTAAATTTTGGAACTCATAACATTTTCAATAAGAAAGAATCTTTCAGAATTTCTTCCTTTCATAAATATCATTGGTTCTTAGGACTGAGGGCATACCAAACAGTTTACAGTCATTGAATTGCTTATGTATCACTCTTACCTATGATCATTATGGAAAAACCTGTTTAGTGTATATGAGGGTCCAGTGGAAAAATGTATCTGTTTAATACCACATACTCAGTTGAAAAAATGTTGAGTATTAACATCTCCTTTTTTCCTATCTTCAATCTGAAATTTTTATTTTCCATTTAGATTCTCTGGTGCCACGTAAACCTAGACTAAATATACTAAGAAAGCAGTACCTTCAAATGGCCAATTATGTCCACTGTTTAATACAAACACAAAAAAGCAAAAATACTCCATAAACTTGCTTGATTTTTCAAGTCAGTTGGTTGGAATTTCTTTAAAATATTCACAATTTGATTTTTCTGTTCTCTATGTAGTACCTGATATTTCATCTCTGTGTAATATGCTATATTCCATAATAGGCTACAATATTTTAACTTAATTAATTTAAAATTTTTAATTCCAGTTAACACACATTGTTATATTAGTTTCAAGTGTGCAATATAGTGATTCAATGATTCTATATATTACTCAGTGCATCAAGATAAGTGTACTCCTAATCCCCTTTACCTGTTTTACCCACCTTCCCACCCACCTCCCCTCTGATAACCATCAGTTTGTTTTCTATAGTTGAGAGTCTGTTTCTTGGTTTGCCTCTGTCTCTCTTTTTTTTTCACTTTACTCATTTTTTTATTTCTTAAATTCCACATATGAATTAAATCTTATGGTATTTGCCTTTCTCTGACTGACTTATTTCACTTAGCAGTATACTGTATCCATTCATCCATTGATGCCTGCTTCTTGATTATATAGATGGCATTTAATGTTTATTACTCTCCTGTGTTTCAGGGACTCCATGAAAAAACTGGTGCATTTACAGCTGTTAAAGTGATGAATGCTCGTAAGGTAATGTATCTTATCCATATATTGTTCAATTTAATGGTATCCTATGGACTTAGATACACAGCTCAGAAAATATTGTATTTGTTTTTCATCATTATTATACATAATTATAATTATTTTGATCTAGATTTATTATATGTGTCATTTAATATTATTTCTATCCATAGTATATTATCTTTATTATTGATTTATTGTAGTTACACATAAAAAATGTTTCACTCACAACAAAAAGTCTACATATTTTGGTATTCTATAAGAATAAGGAAAATATCTATATTCCTGTATATTTCTAATTTATTATCTGTTTCTAAGGATAGCAAAGAAGAGATTTCCTCTAATGTTGTGTTAATCCTTCTGTGTTCGATCATATACTTTTCCCTGTCCAATCTTTCCTTTTGAGAATTGAGGCCATTAGACTCTCGATGACAGGTAGAAGGAAAGAAATTGTCAGAGATGCACATTTTTCAGACATTTTCTGACAGATGAGCAAGAGAGACAGTTTAATTGGCATTGTTCCTGCTAACATTTATAAAGTTGTGTCATGGTTCATAACATATTGTCCTGGAATTTGCTAAGTACTGATTTCTGTCTTCTTTCTTTAGCATGAGTGCCTCACTTTCTCTAGATAATATTAGCATGAACATAGCAAAAGTCAAAAAAATTTCACTTCACTATACCTTAAAGAAAAATTCTCAAATGTTATGTTTGAAAAATTATACATATTCACTGAACCGTTGTCAATGCCATAAACTGTTATTTTCCAATTTGTGCAAGGAGTGAATTGCTGAAACTATTTAAAGAGTTGCATGCTTTTTATTTTGCCAGTAAATGTCAAATGTTGCAAACCAATGTTAATTTTAAGGGATTTTGAGGTTTTGTGGATTTATTTTGCCCTACAAATCATGGCTTCCAAATAATCAGCCCAGTACTTTTTTAGTGAGACTATCTAACATACTTATTATCCTTGTTTTGACTTGAGAGACCTTTGACTGACATTTAATCTACATTTTAGATACTCTAACTTTTGAAATATTTAAAACTCATTTTCATACCATAGATAGTTTCAATTACTGTGTTTTGTAAGGAAAAATAGCACTTCACTAACATCAAATTGTAATTTTTCCATTAATATGGTAGTTAAATCTGTTATTTTGAATTTGGTGCCAAGTTTCTGTATATATAAGAATCTGATTTTTAAGTAAAATTATTAGTGAAAATAGAAAGAAGAATAATATTATGTCACTCTTACATTTAATGCCCAAAGAACACAAATTATTTAAGAATAAATCATTTTCAAAGTGTACTAGTAGGTCTAAAAACATTTTGTTCTTGGTTTTGCAGACCGCTTTACCTGAAATAGGAAGACGAGTGAGAGTGAATAAATATCAAAAGTCTGTTGGATGGAGATACAGCGTGAGTACGGAAAGTCTCCTTTAGCTCCCAAGTTGTCTTTCCTTTAATTTTCACCTTTAAACTAACCCTTGTATCATTATCTTTAGAAGGCCATAACTAAAATATTCTTGCCTGGAAGTGATAGCATATTATCTTTTAACACATTCACATAGATCAATCATTATATTTGAACACTAACATCGTCAGAAATCAGGGGCTAGAAGAAACAGTTCCCTGAACAGGTAAGTGTTGAAAGCAGGTGAAGGATTAATTATATCCACAGAGTATAGAGCACTCTAGCTGAGTAGCAACAAAGGAGATGATGAAACCAAGAGCAAATTTTGCCTTAAATTGGCCCTGGTAAGGTCTTTTTTATACCTTTTACATGGTATTCCAGACTGATTGGCTATTCCCCCATTATGATTCTAAGAAACATTGCTATTGTATATGAGTTAAATGAGGACTACTCTTTTTTTATTGTAAGAACAATAGCAGACAGAAAACCACAGCTATCCAACATAAAAGTCTTCAGATATCTGGCACAGTACTTGAATACATAAAGGAGTGGAAATGCTTTGTACTTGAAGCTCTATAACTTCCTTACAAAGCACTCTCTATGACTAATAATTTGCTAGCTCTAGAATACAATCATACAAAGAAAATTCTTCTTCAGTAGATGTTGGTGACCTATCAAAATATTGTGTGAGCCTAAAAGCAGAATTCCTATTCTTATCAATTTTATTAAAACTTTTTTAACTGTTTATTTATTTTTGAGGGAGAGAGAACATGAGCAGGAGAGGGGCAGAGAGAGAGGGAGACACAGAATCTGAAGCAAGCTCCAGGTTCTGAGCTGTCCACACAGAGCCCAACGGGGGGCTCGAACCCTCTAACCGAGAGATCATAACCTGAGCTGTAGTCGGATGTTTAACTGACTGAGCCACCCAGGCACCCCATTATCAATTTTGTTAATTGACCTTTTTTTTCTTACACTTCTCCTCAGCTATCTGGTATTCAAATATTTCAACCTTTTGTGTCTTAATAAATATGCTCTCAGGATTTAGGATAACTTTTCCCATTAACCCAATCACATTCAGAGAAAGTTTGTATTTATATTAGAAAGGTATTGGTAAACAGTTTCATGATTGATCTAGTAAGTACCAGGCTCCTGTTTTGTTTACAATGTATCTCTGGAATCAAAGCCTATCCAAATAAAACAGGTAGTACTGATTAATCTAACACACTTCGGTAGATCAAGAAGCTGCAAAGTGTAAGGTATGAAAAATATAATTGATTAATTTGGTTTCATCACACATTTCTGTTAATAAGTTCCTTTAAAGATCTTCCCCAAACCCTCTCTGGTATTCTTTCCACAAGGAAAAATATTTTGGGGTGAAATTATAAAGGAAGTTGTCGTATCCTTGAGCTGTCTCTTTCTGACAAAAATTAGGATATTCAAGCCACGCTGGGACAACTGGCCCTGAGCCAGGAAATGCTATAGCATCATATTACTGAGATATTTGTGAGAGTTTTAAATTACCTACTTGGCCTGATGGATATAATGTACTTATGTGTTTCTCACAAGCTCAACTTCCTGTTAATTGAGAATGGCAAACACACTAATGCTTTTCAAACATATCTGATCTTGGTTTATTGGTTTGGGGAGAGTTTACATTTATGTGGGAAACTCACTCTTAAAAGTTTTTCTAGTTGGGAACTTTGAACTCTCTGATTATATATTTTAGTAAGAAAAATAACTGCTAGCTGATCAGTCAATTAGTATTTATAAATCATCTTGAATCCTTTGGGATAAGAAGGTTGTGACTTACACACACATCTCTTTGAGTCAGAGGTTTATGGAAATAGCAATAATGTGGAAGTCCAGACACACAAATCTAAATCCCAAGTCTACCACTAAACAGCTAAGAAATACTTGGGAAACAGGTCTTACTTCTCTAGGCCTCAGATTTCTCATACGTAAAATGCACCAGAATATTTGGCCTACTTATAAACAGAGTTAAAAATATGGTCAAATGCAACTGCATAGCTGCCTTGAGCCCAGCCATTCTTCTATTCTTGCTTGTGGACATGACCTTTCTAACTCAGAAGGAAAAAAAAAAAGCTCTTTGATAATCAAACTACCAAACAAGTTAAAGGACTCAGGCTGGCCCCTGCTTCTCTTTTACATGTTCTTTGTGTTCTTACCCTCACACCATCATCTCATTCTTATTTACTGCACTCTTTATGAATTCATGTTCCTTTCAACCCAATGATGGTGGCTTGCTAGGTACTGACAATGCCCATGTACACATAGAATTGCTAGTTCCTGAGGTTTATTTCTATACAATGGCAGATGTTGTTACCATTTCAAAGGACAGCCATATCTGAGGTAAAGCAGAAAGTTCAAGGGTCCTACATGACAAGAATGAAAGTCACGAGGATCAATTTTTATCTTTGTAGAAAACAGGTTAAGGGAATTCAAAGAGAACTTATTAACTGAGCTTCCTTGGGAGGCTGGGATGACACTGGAACCTGGACTTCTATATGATTCTCATGCCACAAGTTAATTGTTTTATTTATTTCGGCCTTTATGACACAATAAATACAGAGAACCTGGAGAAACCAGGCCTCATCCCCTTCTCCCAAAGACAAATAGGTGTCTAGATTTTTTTTTAGTTGTTGAATATTTATGGGTAAATCCACTGGAAAATCCCAGAGAAATGTTAAAGAATGTTCTTCAGCTGCTAGCCGTTTCTCTGAGATTTCAAACTTTTTATAATGTATTATGAATACTTGGGGACATTTCAGAACCTAGCACATTGCCTTATATTTATTTTATAACTATTTTTTAAAGTCTAATTACACTATAGCTAAAGATTAAAAACATTTCCCATCTTTCCTACTGGGTCTGAGAGAATAAAGTAAGAAGGAAAATGATAACTGACTAGATATATTCAGCTACCTATTAATTTCAGCTAAAATATCTATTTCCCCCTACCCCCAGGTCATCAAGCCAATATAATTGAAGGAAATTCTGGGGAGAACTAAAGATAAAGGTTAATTCCTTAATTTATTTTCGTGCCAGTTGGCCCTTTCTGATTCATTGCCCGAAAGAAGTCAAAGGTATCCTTTTTCACTGGATTTCAGAATAGGAGCTCAACTGTATTTTTAATTTAAAAGTCTTCTTTTCTATTTTTAATTGTTGAGGAACCTCCATACTGTTTTCCACAGTGTCTATACCAACTTGAATTCCTGCCAACAGTGTGTGAAATTTCTTTTTTATCCATATCATTGTCAACATTTGTTATATCTTGTCTTTTTAATTTTAGCCATTCTACTGAATAAAATAAGTAGGACTGAGAAAGACAAATACCATATGATTTCATTCATATGGAATCTAAAAAAGGAAATGAATAGACAAAAATCAGAGTCAGACATAAATACAGAGAACAAAGTGATGGTTGACAAAGGGGAGGAGGTGGGGTAAAATGGATGAAGGGTAGTGGGAGATACCGACTTCCAGTTATGGATGAGTCAGTCACAGGGATGAAAAAGGTACAGAATTAAGGAATATAGTCAATTATATTGTAATAGTGTTGTATAGTGACAGATGGTAGTTACACTTGTGCTGAACATAGTATAACATATAGAGAAGTTGATTCACTATGTTTTACACCTGAAACTAATGTAGCATTGTGTCAACTATACTCAAATAAAAAAATTAATAAAAAAATTATTTTTGGTCAAAAAAGTCTTTACATACTACAGCATATATTTATTTTGCACAATAACAGTACTCTTGAAAAGTTATATAAATGGAACATTTATAGATGCAGTGAGAGAGCTTTTTTATTTACAATCAAATGAAATTTAGAGCTAGTAGGCATTCAAAAGACCCAGGTAGTGAATTCTTTTGTCAAGTGGGAGATCACTACCTGAGCCATTTTATATCACCCTCAACTTCATTATACACTATCCTGTATTCATCAATGATTGTGTCATTCATGTTTGTGAATCTTATTTCCTTGTATGTAAGTTCCTTTAAATTAGGAATATTATATCTAAATGCATAAACCAATGATATGCTCATCAGAAATTCCCAACAATTTAAGTTACTTTTTTGTAAGTTAATATTTTAAGATATTTTTCTCCAATGCATTGCATCTGTATACATATAAAGTGTGATGATTTTTAAATTATTGAGAAGCAAAAAGCTGTTTTTAGATTGGCTACGAATAGTTACAGATGGATTATGCAAACTATCTAGTTGTCACGGTACAAGGGGACAGCTGAATCTTTAGGGAGAGAGAATAGCTTCCCATTTCACTCCACTATAACAAATGTGATGAAAGTAAAAGCTGATGTTGTATATTAGGGTAAAAAGTGGAGAAAGGTGTACAGTTCTGATAACACTAATGCAAGTGAGAAGGTGAAGTAACATAGATACTGTATGATAATACCTTACATTATAGCATTCTTCTTTCAAGAACTTCAAAGAACTTTAAATATATTGTCCTATTTGGTTCTACTAATATTCCATTTAGATAGGTAATGGCTGCCAACTTCCATCAGACTTCTGAGGACAAATTCAACCTTGGGAAAATTAAGTAAATTTCCAACTTTTAGCTATTTGTTGTAAAACCCATGTGTCCTTATGCTCAGTGTAGATGCCCTTTTCTGATGACATCACACTGTCTTCTTCTAGAAATAGCTCTTAAAATTATGTATTCTACCTGGGTGAACCCATCCAAAAAGATAGCTTCAGTTATCACTATAGAGATAATTCTCAAAAACATACCTTTAGCCCTGACCTATACCCTGAGTGGCAGCCTCGTATCTTTATTCAATGTAATTCTACACATCCATAGAAAGGAAGTGCATTTATTCTTATTGATGTAGAAATGTGTGCTTTGTATTGAATAAGACATGTGAGTTGCAGAGTAGTGAAATATATATATTCTGCAGGAATAAAAATGTCTAGAGGAATATACACTCAACTGTTACCATTGGTAGGAAGAAATGTTCAGTGATTGTGGAGTACTTACATATTTTATTTCATATATGTAAATATATTTTATCCATATGTATCACTGTTGTGGTTAAGAAAATAAATGACTTTAAGCATATCTTTTAAAAAAAATAGCACAGATCAAACCAGTACCTTTGAAATGCAGTGAGTCAGAGGGGCACCTGGGTGGCTCAGTTGGTTAAGCACCCAACTCTTGATTTCAGCTCAGGTCATGATCTCACAGCCTGTGAATTCAAGCCTAACCTCAGGCTCTGTGCTGACAGTGTGGAGCCTGCTTGGGATTCATTATCTCTCTCTCTGTCTCTCTCTCTCTCTCTCTCTCTTCAAAAATAAATAAATAAACATTTAAAAAATGCAATGAGTCACAAACCAAGTCAGTGTGGTTACATGTATAAGGATAGATACACAGATCAATGGAATAGCACTATTTCCATATACCTATGGTCAAGTGATTTTTGACAACATAGCAAAGACAATACATGGGGAAAAAATAGTCTTTTCAACAAATGATGCTGAGATAAGTAAATATCCAAATGTAAAAGAATGAACTTAGACCCCTACTTTATTTAACAATTAAGGGGCACCTGGGTGGCTCAGTCAGTTGGGCGACCTACTTGACTCAGGTCATGATCTCACAGATCTTGAGTTTGAACCCTGCATCAGACTCTGTGCCGACAGCTCAGAGCCTGGAGCCTGCTTCCAATTCTGTGTCTTCTTCTCTGTCTCTCTGCCCCTCCCTTGCTCTACGTTCTGTCTCTCTCTTTCAAAAATAAATAAACATTAAAAAAATTGAAAATTAACTCAAAATGATCAAATACCTAAATGTGAGAACTAAAACTATAAAATGCTTATTAGAAGAAAACATTGGGATAAATATTCATGACCTTAGTTTTGGCAATGGATTTTTAGATATGACACCAAAAGTATAAACAATAAAATAAGAAATCAATAAATCAGACTTTATTAAAATTAAAAACTTTATTTCTCAAAGAACACTATCAAGATAGTGAAAAGACAACCCACAGAATGGGACAAAATGTTTGCAAATCAAATACCTTATAAAGTACTTGGGTCTAAGATGTATAAATAAATCTTACAATTCAATAATGAAAAGACAACGTAATTAGAAAACAGGGGCAAAGATTTTCAACTAGACATTCCTCTGAAGATCATATACAAATGGCCAATGAGCACATGAACAGATCATTAATATGATCAGTCATCAGGGAATTTTAAGCCAAAACTACAGTGAGATACCACTTGACACCCACTAGGATGGTTATAATGATAAAACAGAAAATAATATGTGTTGACGAGGGTATGGAGAAATTGGAATCATTATTGCTGTTGGGAATGTAAATAGGTGCAGCACTGTGGAAATGATTTGGCATTTCATCAAAATGTTAAATACAGAGTTACTATTTGACCTAATAATTTCACTTCTATGTATATACCAAAAAGAAATAAATATATATATTCACCAAAAAGAAATAAAAGTATATATTCAAATAAAAACTTGATATGAATGCTCACAGCAGCATTATTAATAATAGCCAAAAGAGAGAACTAACCCAAATGTCTATCAGTTAATAAATGGAAATGAAAATATATAAAATAATGATATATTTTGCAATATGGGCAAAACTTGGGAAAAAAGTTAGTCACAAAAGTCCACATATGAAATGATTTTCATTTATATAAAATGTCCAGGATAGATACATCTATAGAAATAGAAAATATATTAGTGGTTCATTAAAGCTGGTATGTGTTTGTAGGAGAATTTGTGTGTGATAACTAAAGGGTAAAAGGTTTCCTTTTGGGGTGATAAAAATATTTTAAAATGGATTGTGGTGATGGTTGCATAATTCTGTTAATATACTAAACACCATTGAATTTTCACTTTAAATGGACAAGTTGTATGGCATGTAAATTATATTCCAATAAAACAGTTACAAAATAAACAAAATGTAATGATTCTTTTCAGTGAAAACTTTATACAATAGCCATTGCTGCTGGTGTAGGAATCACACTTTCAGAACCACTAAATTAAAAGATCTTCAATTAAGCTTTATTTTTTCCAAAATTCCCGGTTAACCAGAGATCTCCATTCTTTGATAATTCTAGTTGAGATTATATTATAAATTGCTGTGGGGCATAATGGGTGGCCATAGAATTTCCTTTGTTCTACTCTAGTTTAGGATCCCATAGTTATTAACTGGCATAGTTTAGGAACTTTATTGTCTATTGTTTATTCTGCAGGATGAGGAAGAGGATCTTAGGACTGAACTCAACCTTTTAAAGAAGTACTCTTTCCACAAAAACATTGTGTCCTTCTATGGTGCTTTTTTCAAGCTGAGCCCCCCCGGCCAGAGGCACCAACTTTGGGTATGTATTTAACCTTGATCTTATTTCCTAAGACTAAATCTCACTTGAGGAAATACATTTTCACAAGCTGAGATGCACTTTTGTGCACTTACAGGAATACTTAAACACTCCACTGCTCAAAGTAGTATGACAAAATGTGTTCTGATTCCTGGAGATGGGAGTAATAAAGTATGGAAAAGTAACATAAGTTCCTGGCAAGGGTCTTCAGGGTAAAATAGAGGAGGACTCAAATGAACACTGGGAATATCTAACATGTTTCTTTTTAAATATCGTTTTGCTGCTTTTAACTTTTTCTGTATATTTGCTGGTAAATTAGAGGTATGGCTAAGGAGACTACCTGATGGACTTGCAAATAATGACTGGATAAGTATCAATTCTAATTAGCATTCAGCATGAACATATGGATGCATTTAAGTTTTTCTAAGGAAATGCACTTATGTTTAAACATAACTCCTGGAAGTTTAAACATAACTCCCGGAAGTTTTTTTCTAATTTGTTAGTTGACTTATCTTTTTCTTAGTCTACTTATACCTATACTGTCACAAATTAAAGATCAATGAGATATAAATTGTATAGGGTAACTAAAACATAAGCTACAGTTACCAGAATATTGCTGCCTCCCACTATGGCAGAAATAGTCAAATAACAAGAAAATGAGCTCTGGTCAGAGATATGTTTATTTCAAAAGGAATATTTAGAACAGAAGTGGGGTCAGTGTCCAATTGCTAGCTACATTTCCATTTCCATTTCAAGTCAAGAATAGTATTGTTTTTTTTTTTTTCAAAATAATAACTAAGAATTTTAAGAACCTTCAGTTGTCAAGGAAAGATTGTTCCACTTTACATAATGGACTTTAGGAAGCAGGGCAGTGGACATTATAGAAATATTTTCAACAAGGAACTGAATTGAAATAGTGGTTCTCAAACTTTAGTGTGCATCTGAATCTCCTGGAAAGCCTGATAAAACACAGATTGCTGAGCTCTACCCATAGGGTTACTGATTCCATAGGTGTGGGGTGTGGGCCCATGAATTTGCACTTTTTAACAACAGATGATGATGTTTATGCTACTGGTCTGGGTACCACACTTTTAAAACCACCAAATTAAACATCTTCACTTTAATCCCATTTTATTCCAATGTCCAGTTAAGTAAATCTTCTTTTATCTGACAACTCCAGTTGGCATTTCATTAAATATTGCTGTACACCTTTAATGACTATTGGTATATTTTTGGCATACAGTATTTTTCTTTTAATATAATTTTACTTACAATTTTTTTTTCCTCTTGCCTGTATGGCAGTCTCCTTATTAGATGTATTTATCAGTACTCAATTCATTCAATTATTCAACATATTTATTCAAAGCCATCTATTTGCCAGGCCTTCTGCTAGATTATGAGATTACATGGATAAACTGAACAAACATGTCCCGGACCTGTAGGAACTTACAGTCCATTTGCAATGACCAGTATCAGTCAAATAATCACACAAATGAGTATATAATTGGTCAGAAGGGAAATAACATGCTTCTATGTGGGCAAATAACAAAGGTATCTAAGTTAAGTAGGGAATGAGAAACTCTTCTTTAATAAACTTTTTTTTGAACTGAGATCTGAAGGATGAATAAATTATTTGTGGAGGCAAGAGTTTTCATGGGACCATTTACACTGTCTTGCCCATATAAATCAAAACAAATAGGAAGTAAGTAAATGACTAAATAATTACCATTTATAAAGTGTATGTGCCAGACATCATGCTTACAAAGCTGGGAAAATAATTGAAAATATCTTTATGTTCCTTTAAGACTAGAGCGCTTCTGACTTAAGTAGCATTAGGAAGATTTTTCCAGGGTACATCTGAATGAATGGCTTTAATTTATGTTTGTCATGGTTCAAAATGAGCCACTTTGCTTCCATTACCACAGTTGTACATGTTGTGACCATTTAATACAGTTAACATGAAAATTAAACTTTCGTGGTTTCTCTGTATAATTAGTTTTGTTAGGCAATTTCTTCTTTTTTGTGAGAGTGTACTTATGTGAAAGATATGCAATAATATGAATTGTGAACAAATATAAATTAAAGGAATGATTTACTGAAAAGAAAATGTTAGCATTACAACAAGAAATGAGGTAGACTTTACATATTCATGATTTGGGGCATATCCTTTAGGTTTCCTTCATCTACAGCAATAATTAACTTGCCTACAGTTTAAAAAAACATGTTTTGTTGTATTTATAAAGAAGTTTTGACATGGGCACTAATGCAGAAGCCTGTGCTTAAGAAAAGTTTGTTGGGTTGATTATAATAGATATATTCTCTTTTACATTGTCCAGGCCTCTAGCCAGCTAATATAGGAAAGGAAATTTACTAGTTTAGTACCTGATTAATTGATGGCAAAAAGATAAATTTTCTGAGAAATTTTTGTTAATAAAGTAACATCTGAACAAGATGGTTTCAGTGATAATAGCCTTAAAATAGAGTTTCCTTAGCAGTAAAGTCATTTGGGAAAAAATGCCCTATAGGAGTACAACTGACATTTTACCCCTTGAAATTGTAGTTTGCCACTATCTCAGGAAACAATAATTTAAAATTTAGAATTTAGAAACAAAAACAAAACAACAATAACAAACAAATTTAGTCTTAATGTTGAAGTGCAAATTCTTTTGAGATCCTTCTATCCTGCTTCTTCACTTGCAATCAAATTGTTCCTTCAATGATCTTTTTTGTTGCACTCCAGGCATCACTCAGGCTTGTCTCCTGCACAAGCTTTCAACAGGAATATAATCATTCTTTTTTCAATAAACTGAATGTTCTTCCTTCTCTTTATATCCAAACACTATCCTTCAAGGCTTAGCTCAAATTCTACCTCTTGGTTAAATATCCCTGGTGTGGTACCTGCCTTCCCTCCCTCCACTGATCTTTGGATAGGTTCCAACTCTTTAATTCCACTAGCCTTTAGAGACTCCCACCAGACAATTGAGCCAGTATTTGCAATGTCTTAATCCCTAACATTACATATAAATACAAGCCATATGGACTAAAACTCTCCAGATATTTTCATAGAATTACTTTCTAATTCTTGACACTTTGCTGACTTCCCTGCAGATGGTGATGGAGTTATGTGCAGCAGGCTCAGTCACTGATGTAGTAAGAATGACCAGAAATCAGAGTTTGAAAGAAGATTGGATTGCTTATATCTGCCGAGAAATCCTTCAGGTGAGTCTTCATATAGTCATTCTCCCCTGCCTTGAAAATACCTGGGAGTAATATATGCAGTGTACTTTATACTTGCTCATACAGGTTGGTTTAAAAATTCTAAACATAATCTCTGGATCAGGATACCAAAAAAGACCTAAAGGCTTTAGAGAAAGCAGATTTTCAGGTGATGTCTATGTCCTTAACTTTAGATAGGTTGCAATACGGGTAACCAGGCCCTTCCAAGCCTTGCTCTTTAATGGTTCTGTCAGAGTTAGACTATTGTGTTCATTGGATCATAGAAATAACCACTTGGAATATTTATTACATCATTCAGATTTTTAGAGTTCTTAAAAAAAAAAGCTGCACTATATCGTTAGAGATTAAAAGTGAGACAAAAGTCCGTGTTTTACAGAATGGCCCCAAACCATCCATAACCATTTTGCAGACAGATATCCTATTTGAAGAATTCCCTACTTTTAAAGCTTGCTTCATTTTGAATACCAAGTTGGATGAGAACAATATTCTTGATCTACCACACTCAAATTTTTCTGTGTGGCTTAGGTGCTTAGGGTCACCCGAGAAAGATATTAACAGAACTGAAGCGGACCACTGATATGTTAGAATGTCCTTCCTCCCATCTTAATTGGATTCACTTGTGCTAATAGTGTAACTAGTTGAGTGCAAACTCTATACTGAGTTTAAATTCTGGTTCATGATGTATTAGCTGTGTGTCCTTGAATCAGTTACTTAATTTTTCCAAATCTCACTTTTCTTATCTATAATACGAGGTGATAGTAGTACCTTCCTCAAAGGATTGCAGTGACAGCTTCATAATTTCCTTCATGTAAAGCACTTAGCACAGTGCCTGGCAATAAAGTAAAACAAAATAAAGGATTCAATTAATATTAGCTGTTTTTACTGTTACTTCTGTTATTAATCCCCAGTTATTATCTGGAGCAATCTCACTGAAGCCAGGTCACAGGTTAGTTTTAGTGGTGAACAGGCTGGAGCCAACATAGTAAGCCAATACGAATTGCAAATGCTTTCAAAGGAATTTCCATAGTCCCCCAAATTCTCAGCCTACAAGGTTGACTAGAAAATATTCTGGATTAATGAAATGGTTGAATGAGGAATAGAGTAAAACAGTGGCTATTATATTTAAGGTGTCCAGGTCTTCACTCTTATGGTTAATTGGAAAGATGGAGGCTAGAAAGGAAGGTAAACGGCCCAATGTATACAAACATTACTTTTTGGTGTTCTTTTCCTTTCATGGGTGTCCTAATTTATTTTCCTTTCCTTATAGCCAAAAGCAGTATTTCTGGGAACTGGTTGTAGTAATTCCAGCCTAAAGAAAGAATTTTGTCTGAAAAAAGCAAATCTGGGCCATTTTTCTTACCAAAAGGTTTTCCAAAAATACTAAGAACAGTACCAGAAAGAGAGAAAATATATATACTGATGTGACTTTTAAAATAAATATACATTATCTATGTGCAGGGCTTAGCTCATCTTCATGCACACCGTGTAATTCACCGGGACATCAAAGGTCAGAATGTGTTACTGACTCATAATGCCGAAGTAAAACTTGGTAAGTTTGTTCTTGCAGTACTTTAAGTGGTACCCAAAATATTTTAATGGAGAATAATCCTTTAAGATAACTATGTTTTTTTTTTTATAATTTCATTAACAATATCTGCTACTTATTTAGGCTGTGTCTTCATTGCTTGAAAAACCAGTGAAATTTTGAAAATTTGTTTGGTGAGGAAGGTGGAGCAGGAGAAAAATGCACCATTTACTGCTTCTCTGGAATCATTAGTTCAAAACAACTTTTAAATTATAATGGAAGGCTTACATTTTGGTCATTGTTTTACTCTCTATTAAGTATAGATATTATATTTATTTCAACAATTGAATTGAGTATTTATTATGTGCAAGTTTTTGTGCCATGGACAAGAAACAAAGACAATTCTTCCACATCACAAAGCCATATTTTCCAAAGAACATCAAATAACTTTTAAATTACTTAAGCATAAATTGCTTCTTTGGAATTTCGCCTCAAATATTTAAAGAACTGATATCAGTTGCTCTCATAATATCAAAATCAAGTTCAGAATTAGAAATCAAAAGACCAGAAAGTCCCTGGCTTTCTATTCCAAGATTTAAAATGGCATAATTTATTTAAAAATAACCACACATATTGTCTCACAGGCACACAGGGTGCAATTTATTGTACCCTTTAATGTTTAATATAAATATCGTTGGTTGGGTTTTAAATAATACCATATGATTAATGTTAGTACTATGCAATGGCAGATAACCTCATTGATATAGAATATAAATCACTGGTATTAAATCCTGTATTATTTTTAAATGATATCAGTTCTACCATATCTCTAGCATGACCTTAAGATAGTTCCCATTTTCCTTATAAAAAATATAACCATGGCAGAGATTTTTGTTCATTCATTGAGAATGTGTTCATTGAATATTTGCAGAAGAAGCTTGAGTAATAATCGTTCCTGAAATAAGAAAAAAGTAATTTCAAGAAAATGTGTTATGTCTCATGTGTTTAAAAGCTACAAAGCTAGAAATACAATTTTAAGACACTGTGCCAATACCTTGGGGGAATTTGGATCTCATATTCAAATGTGCAGGATAGATAATCTGTTGCAAGGCTACATACATACTATGTTCACATGTGGCAGCACTCCCATACATTTGAGTCAGGTTTCTGGCCAACTCTACCATTTGCGATACAGAAGAGAAATTGTTAAGTAAATGAAATGCCACTGAAAAATCTGTCACAAAGTCCATGCACTAAAGCTTATGTACTTTACTCTGTGGGAGAGACCTTTTAGTATGGATAAGAATTTAATCAGGCTTATTTTACATATAACCCTTATACATTTGGTTTTACATTTCTCAGATTCCAGGATATTTTTAAGCAACATATTATGAGAAGGTTGCAGAAGGAAAACCCAAGGCCATAAAAAGGGAGTGATAGGAATGAGACTGGAAAATGATCATATTATAATTGCAATTGATAAGCAATCCTTATATTCTGGTCCCTAGGTCATTAAAGAAAAGGTTAAATTATACCACTGTTGAGGTCTCATCTCTACTTTTGTCTTCATTTCAAGCTTTTCTTGTTTCCTTTTCTTCCATCCATCACTCTTTCTTCTAGTCTTTTCTCTTTTCATTTTCTTCCCTGAATGTCATATATTAGCTCATGGCCTTCATAGGTATCTCTTGGCCCTTTAAGTTGGCCCTCAGGGATAGTGAGACTGCTGGGCTCTGATTTAACCTGTTCTCCAAAAATAGGTAGATAATGAGATTGTTCAATACCCACTGATGATTTGCACATATTATAGGCATTTTTTATTCTTGTTAAATCCTTCCTTAAAGACTTCTTTAAGCTCTTAACTTTTTAATTTTTCATTTCTTCTCCTAAATTCTTCAAACTACTATTTAGACAGTGTTGCTATCCATCCTCTAGATTCCTGGAAACCATTCTAAATTAGAAAATCTACTTCATTTTTCATCCCTGAAAAATTTCATCTACTTTCATTTTTCATCTTTTTTTTTCTGGACTAAATAACCCCAGTCTACTTTAGCCTTTTTTCTGTCTGTTACTGAGGATACCATACTAAATATTTTCATATAATGTATCCCACAGATTAATAGAAGACTGAACTTTTACAGTCTAACCTAAGATATAGATACCACAGTAAATATATGCATCTGATTCAGAAGATCTGTAGAAGAACTTAAACTAAATTCTAGCAGAAAACTCATTTTTCTTTATTGGTGTAATAGGACTTTCTAATGTCATGAGCGAGGCTTCCTAATAAGCTACTAATAGGTTTTAGATTTCTTAGATGTTGCTTATAGTGTTGGTCTTCCTTCAGCTTGGTGGCAGTTCCAAACACTACATATGTTATCACTTCAGAGGTTCAGGGTATACTGATGGAACTTTATTTTTAATATTCATGGTAAACTTTCAGCCAAACCTACTGTAGATTTATAGTAGCACTTCTGAATCTCTTTCCAACATAAATAGAAGCAAAAACCTAATTCTCAGTATTTCTGGAGTGGACTTCATGGTAAAGTTTTCTGGGCTGGAATGAAAATCTGTTATCCATTGTGGATTTTGTATTGGCTTTCCAAGTTAAAGCAATAACTTATTGAGCTTTTTGTTACTGATTAATTATTTTGACATATGCTGAATTTTGCAGTGGATTTTGGAGTGAGTGCCCAGGTGAGCAGAACTAATGGGAGGAGAAATAGTTTCATTGGGACACCATACTGGATGGCACCTGAGGTGATTGACTGTGATGAGGACCCAAGACGCTCCTATGATTACAGAGTAAGTGTGAAGATTCACATAGTGGGAATCAAAGATTGGAAAGGACTTTTTACTAATATTTATTTGTAAATGATAAAAAATAAAAAGCAGGCAACTCCTTTCACATTAAACTCTAATAAGAAAGACTAGCTGCTATTCTTATTTGTGGTTTGATTATATGCATAAATGTAATATTTTCTAAGAATATAGACAACATAGACCACTGGTAATTATCTACATTTGAGGAAGAATGTCTAGTTCATGTTGCTTGCAACTTCTTGGGAAAAATATTATATTATGTGGCTTTATATGGAAATTTAACTTCCAGGGGCAGAGAACTTTGTAAACCTAAAAATGAATGAGTGTAAAGCCAATTATTAATCCCCACAGTAACTTAGCTTCAAAAAGAAAAAAAAATAATTCGATTACTTAGGGTAATGGAGAAAATCCTTGTCATGGTTCACCTCCAGACCACTGAAAATCAGTGGAATAGACAAATTAAGTAACAATTCATGGTATTTATTAAAATTTCCACTGAAATTGCAATTTGGACAATATACATCTATGTACACATTTCAAAACCCTGATGTGGAAAGAAAACTCTCCATTTGCTATAGACTGGAAAAACCACATTCAGTCTTCACATCATAAGTCATCCAAACAATTCATTGTGGCTTCATTGTGTAGAACCTAGAGCTCAATACTTGAAGTTGATTAATTCAAGTCTCATCTCTTTTCCCTTTTCCTTAAATGCCCTCTGCTTGATCTGCAAGCAGATCCCTTGAGAGTTTATAATCTATTACTATTACAGGCTATGGAGACTATGGAAGCATAATGTTCTTTTAGGTGGCTTGCTGTAAAAATGATGCTTTATGCCTGTACAAATTTTTTTTTGCAGTCTTCAAAGGACTTTCACCTATATTAATCATTTTTTTTTTCATTTTTAGCCTCATTTAATTGAAAGAAAGCTTCAACTTACACCATCACAACAATCATTTGAAGCTAAGAACTCTATTAGCTGAGATTCTCAGAATTCAATTGACTTGTTTAGGAGTCATCCAGCCAGCCAGTGTACCTACAGCCCTGTGCCCTTTCCACGTTCTAAACGAAGTACAGTTAATAGTGAGGATAATTTCCTTGATCCTCTTGGAATATCATTTCCTAGAATAACAATAATTATATTATCAATTTACTATATTCAAGTAACTGCTGAAAATGCTTTTTATATATGGTATCTCATTTAATACTCATACCAGTGCTATGAGGTGGATATCATTATTATCCCCATTTCATATAGGGTAAAATTGAGGTACAGAGAGTTAAATCATTTATCTAAGAGGGCACAGTTAATAATAGGTCTATGTGATTGGATTTCTTCACAGCAAGCTCCTTTTGTTATTTCAGTTAAGGCAGCAATAGCAATACATTCAAGATGAATTTTCCCTACACTGAACCCTATCCCATATCGTTCTGTTGTGTGGTGTAGTACTGGCAGATCACAAGCTTAGATAACATCTTCCTACAACACCATTCTATAATGAAGGTTCATTGTAGAAAACCCATAAAATGGCTCTGGCATTGACACTCCCCCAACCAAAGATTGTTTTGAAATTCTAAATACTATTAATTTTCCAGTTTAGGTGACTTTGGGTTCATTTTTTCTTTTGCAGAGTGATGTGTGGTCCGTGGGAATCACTGCTATTGAAATGGCTGAAGGGGCTCCTCGTGAGTAAAAATGATGTTTATTTGTTAAAAGCTAGGGAAGCATGCTATACAAATCTGCAACTTGCACCAGTCAGCTTGTCTTGGTCAGACAGATGCCACACTATTGCCAAACCGTAAATACTGGACTTCTGAGTGATTATCAAATGTTCTAGTCAGAATGGCCAGATATATCTATAAAGAGTTTGTGCTTTTCTCTTATGATATTTTATTTTAGGCTTATTGAGTTTTATTTCAACTTAGCATCAAAATTATTTGGTACTGACAGTCATAACTAATGAGAATCTGAAGCCTTTCCAGTACATAGTTATTGGTGGAGTATTTAGGTTCCAGAACATTTATAGTCACACACTGCTACTGCTGCAGACTATGACAGTTAAAAGAATCTTCCAGTGTTTCACTGAAAATAAACCAATCCTCAACTCTGGGAAGTGAGTGGTTTTTTGTTTGTTTGTTTGTTTGTTTGTTTGTTTTTCATTTGGAGTCAGTCAGCTCACCTTTGGTGCCTTCCTTGCTCCTTTTAGCAACTCCAGTGTCCTTAATTGCTCAGAAGACTCAGTTTCCTCTTGTTTCCTCCTCACCCCCATCATTTAAATGATCTGTTAGTATTCTGTTCTCTCAGCACACTGCTTTCTGGTAGGAAAGTGAAAATTAAATGTGAACTTAGATATAAATGATTGATAGCCATCTAATGTATGACACCCATAAGCAGGGCATATCTACTGTCCTCAATACCTAAATCTAAAGATATAAATGATACATACATTCCTTGTGTCATTGGAAGAGAAGTGAGAGAAATACCTGGAGTGTTTTTTTGAGGGGCAGGTGGGTGGAGTGGAATTTCTTTGCTTATCCCTTTCTAAGGAGACCTTATAGGTTCCCACGTTCCTGCATCGTCTGTCGGCACAATGTCCAGACAACAAGCTTTTTAAGTTTGAAATATCTTAATACTGTGTTTCAAGTCCAATGGGAGTAATTTCAAGGGGGTAGAAATAATGGTAACTTGTCCCTCTTTTCATGCCCCCAGAACTGCAAAGCATCTGTTTTGGGTGAATAAAAACTTAGTGATGGCCACATATATAAAATTGAAATGAGACTGGGAAGATGCATATTATTGCTCATCACCTCTTGATTATTTGTCTTTGTGAAACATGCTTAGATTATATTAGATTGAGCAGCAGCAGCACCTTCTCCTCTTCTTTTTCCACCTCTTTCTCCTCTTCCTCTTCTTCTTCCCCTTCTCCTACCCCTTCTTCTTGTTCTCCATCTTCTTCCCCCTCCTCTTCCTCCTCCCCCTCCTCTTCCTCCTCCTCCTCCTCCTCCCCCCCTCCTCCTCCTCCTCCTCCTCCTCCCCTCTCTTCTTCTTCTTCGTCTTCTTCTTCTTCTTCTTCTTCTTCTTCTTCTTCTTCTTCTTCTCCTTCTTCTCTTAACAATATGGTATTTCATATGAGTGTTGATGTATGTTTTTTTTAGTATGCATGACTGCATCAAAGAGTATATGTTTTTTGTTGTTTTGGAATGTTCCTTACCATGTCTTTAAAAAAAACTGTCTTTCTACATTTTGAAGATTTGTACTTCCTAATTCACCTTTATTTTGTTTAATTTTTTCATTCCAAAATATTAAATCATGGGAGAAAAAAAAGGAGTAATGAGCAAACTCACAGAAGGACTACAGAGAAGGAGTTTTGCACAGAATACACAAATGGCAAACTTCTTACAAAAGATGTGTGAGGACCAGGAGTTTCTTAATTTACAATGAGAAAAAATAAGACCAACATGCCTAAATAAGCAATCAGAAGCCTGAAACTTTGGTGATGAGTAACTTGAAATAGCCACTCTGCTAAAACATTGGTCTTTCACCAGCCTCCTATATTGCCTGGAGTATTAACTTTGGATAGAAATGATCGTCATTAACTTAACTGTAGAAATCCTCCAGGTTTTGATAATTACCGTCTCAGAGGGGGTGGCCCTCCAAAGTTACAATTATATGATAATTGACTCTGAGGTCCAGATAAGAAAATTTATTTCTTTCTCTCTTTTTTTGGTGTCTCTCTCCCAGAGATGTAAAAAAAAAGGGGGGGGGCACGGAGAACATCTTCTCACTAAAAGGGTGATGTAGAGGTTCCCAGAGGAGAAAAGACCTGTACCATTGCACGCCAGGATCTTCTTAAGTGCTTGGGTCCTTTCTTTCTTTCTTTCTTTCTTTCTTTCTTTCTTTCTTTCTTTCTTTTTCTTAAATTATACATATGAGTGAAATCATATGGTGTTTGTCTTTCTCTGTCTGACTTATTTCACTTAGCATTATACCCTCTATAAATGTATTTT